CAATATACTAATTTTATTTATAGAATTTACATATTCGTCCATCTATACATATAAAATATCTAATAATTTTTTCACATTATGTCGCATTTTATATAAGCAAAAATATCAGATGTAGATGAATTAATAAGGTTTCACGATTTTGACAATTTTTACACTTGTCCAATTAGAAAATGCACCGCACTATATGGATTCTTTCAAGAAAGTGTGGATGATAACGAGGTGAATTTGGGACAAATATCGTCAAATTCGTCTCACTCTTCAGTGTAATAAACCCAAACCCGTCTCAAATTTAGAACAATTTTTATTTTTTGAACTCGTTTCGAACCATATCGAATTTGTAGATTATCCTACCTGTACAATCTTGCACTCCATATGATAAAAGTATTTATTTTTTCTCGCACTTGATTTGCCCCTACTCGCCCTTAGATGCCCTAACCCAACAATACAACTACAACATTATAATAATTAAAAAATTCGGAAAAAAAAATTAAAAAACATCGTAAATCTCAATGTTTAAATAAAAAATGTCTCGGACATATTTCAAATCGAGTAGATATGCGAGTATAGATGAATTTTGCCCTCGAAAAAGTTCTAAAAAGATCATACGATGCGTTTAGATTTCGTTTAGAGCAAATCATACTAATTACTCAATAGTTGATACTTTAATTTTTGCCTTAATTAATGAATTTGAGTGGCCATGTGGGTTATGTGTGTATTATCGTTGAAAAATTATTTATATTATTCCGTATTAATTATACTATTATTAATGTATAAATCCCACTTAAATGTGAGAGCTATTTTTTTGCTCCCTTGATTGGCTCCATTTTGCAAATTTGTCTCCTGTGATTTGTTACGTACGTAGTAAAAAGCATGGTGAGCATTTTTCCATAAAATGACCGGTTGGGTTTGGAGTCTAAACAAGAAGGTGGCAGCCGTTCTTTGATCTATTCCATGTTGCAGTTCAATATTCAAACCACTCAACTCAGTCAAATCTCAGAAACAACATTTCCTGGTAAACCCATTTGAATATACATATACGTATATATGTATACACACACAGAGCTAGACAACCCAACTCCCTATATATATATATATATATATATATATATATATATATATAACTTCCTTCCCTCCCCCATTTCCCACATACTCTCTAACTTCACCTCCTTGTCTCGAAGACCACACCATCTTGCTAACCAGCATACTCCTTCCACAACTACGTATACATATACATATACACATACATACATATATATAAACATGGGTTTGTCTCTACGTCAGACTATCATGATCTTGTTAGTTGTAGTACTCGCCGTCTCGAGTGAAGGAAGGAGATTGAATGAAAATGTGTTGGATGGGGTGGTGGTGGTGCAATCACTTCAACGGGGTCCGGTGCCGACGTCTGGTTCGAGCCCGTGCACCTACGTCCCCGGACGTGGTTCGGGGCATCTGTAGTCTTGGCGGGCATCATGCAGCCGGCGAATTTACTGGTGCGCGCACCTGTTATATGACCGGCCACCATATATTC